GCTGTGAGGAGTATTTTGCTTGAAATCCTCACAATATCTGCAGCTCAGGACTGGAGGAATGGATTTCTTGCAGAGGGTGTCGTGTTTTCCCTCCTAGATCTCCTCAGATACATCCTCCAGGGTCCTGAAAGGCCCTGAGATTTGACAGGGACCATCCGTTTTTTTCTCCTCCTGCAACAGAGGACATGAGTCATTTGTGAGGAACATCTGTGGATATTTCATTTAATCAGTTTTTTTACTGCTCTTGTGGCTTTGGATATTAGCACTGTGTGTTACTTTTGTTCTCTGGCAGAGGCATGCAGCAGTGGAGCCTCCTGAGAGTCAACTAAACCATATTATTGGCTCCCTCCAGGGGTAGCTGGGTGAAACTTAATGGTCCATGAGATACAAAAAGTCAGTAGAAATTATCTAATGTCCCCTTCTAGTCTTAAACTCAGTGAAATGGTGAAAATTCTGCTTCTAAAGGAAGTAGCAGATGAACACTTGCCAGGATCTCCTACCAGGCTGCTTCTCCAGCTGTGTCCCCAGGGAGCAGTTCCCTTTTTGCAGTCTTGTTTGCAGATTCTCAGCAGAATTGTACCATTTTCACTCCTGGAGACCAAATCCTCATTCCCATCCTCCTGCGCAGCCCATTTGCCCATCCTCCCTCAAATTCCAAGCCTGTTCCCTCCTCTCTTTGTGGTGGCCATTTCGGAGAGAAACTTTTTTGTTTCCTTTCTGCTTTTACCAAAATTCAAATGAGGTATCTGTTATATCTGACATCTGCCTTTCGCACAGATCAGATCAAACCTCCAGTTCTACAATATCTCTGCTCCTCCTAAATGAAGAAATCAGTCTTGTGCATCTAATCTCTCTGTGTCTCGTTGAGAGCGTTAGCAAAAAAAAGTCTCCCAGGCATCTTTATAGAGTTGAAACATCTCTTCTGCTTTCTTCTTCTACAGGGAAAATGTGCAGTTTTAACCCGTGGGCATGTTTTTTCTTTTTCTTAAAAGCATTTGCAAAGATGGTCAGAGCTGCCTCTCTTCAGCTGCCAAGTAGGTGTCCTATTGTGCATGTGTTTTTAAGAAAATCAGTGTTTCCTCTCTGACTGAAAAGCTTTACCTTGAATATTTCCATATGAAAAGATAAAATTGAGATAAATTGCAGAAAAAGAAATTCTACAGTCTGGGGATTTCAAGCAGGAGAGAAGCATGTGTGTTTTTTCCTCATCTGAATTCAAGGACACATGGGCTTTATGATGGCAACTTTTCCACAGAGGGAAAGGGTAGGTCTCCTTCTTCTTGCTTTACCACTTTAGTCACTTTTTAACTAACTTCCAAAGATATTTTTGGTTTTACTATAAATTATAAGTGGTTTTAGAACCATCTGAGGATCTCTGACCTCACCTGGCTGCAACAAGTGCTGTGGAGTTGTGTCCAAAGAGCAGGTGGTTGTGGCTGGATTGTCTTTCCAACATGAGCAGGTGACAGACAAATTAATTCCTCTGCTTTCACTTGATTGTATTAGTAGAATGGCACTAGAGAACCTCAGTGAGAGATCCTGTGCCTGGAGAAGGAGGGATACGAGACATCCATGTTGCTTGGTGCAGCACACACCAGGAATGTCCCAGCCAGAAGTCCCAACCTGATCTATTATACAAGACTGATTAAGGTGAATATGATAGTAGTTGCCACGGTTATTGGTCATCATGAGCACTATTTCCTGAGAGCTTGTTTAGAGGAAATCTTTGCTGTAATTAATTACAAATTTGTTTTAAGATAATAGCATACATGGTTACAGCCCAGAATAGAGGTTCTCTGTCCTTCCTTCCCTTTGTGCAGCCCAGAGGCCACTAATAGCACATGCAAGCTGTCACAAATGTTTGCATTTACATCCAAGTGAGCACTCTTCACCCATGCTCACATCCTTGGATAGATGAACATTTATGCTGTTGCATTTCACCCAGTTTCCCACCTTCAGGAATGAGCTTCAGAGCTTGTACAGTCCAAACCCAACCACCAGAGCTAATTCTCAGATCGACAGCAACTCTCTTCTGTAGGAAATGCCAGGTTGTGGCCATCCAGCTGTAAACAGGTTATCACCAGCAAATTAATCAGCAGAGCTGAGCTTCTTGGACCTTCCATTCCAACATCATCTTTATCTGTTTTATGTTTCTTAATCTTTTTAGAAAATCATCAGTCAGAGGCTGCCAAGAGCTGATAATCTTCCTCCCCACTGGGAAAACTAAGAGACTTTAATATATTTGTTTCCTCTAACTAAGGTTTACAATTCGTAATAGTAAGTTCTTAGGAAGTTGCAGAACAATCAAATGAGAACACAATTGTTAATACATTTGCTTAATAAAATAATTAAAGCAAATATGAAGAAATTCCAGTGATCTCTTGGTGTATTAAATAAATAGCAAGTAACTTATTTTTAGTTTCACTGGGTAAATTTGTTTGGAGCAGTTATAATTAAACATAGCTCTGATATTCAACTATTTTGCAGCCACAGTTTTTACATTATGCCAAGTTCAGTCTCAGAAAGGTGACTGCAGTTCTCACTCTTTTCACGTTTCCAGATTAACTGACACAACAATTTCTTTGTGGTCCTTTGAGCGATAACCCTCAGCAGGTCTTTTTTTTCCCAAATCATCTGTCTTTTCCGTGTTCCCTCCTGGTCTCCAAGTACAAAGTGAGCGAGGGCTCTTTCCAAACTTGTTAATGACAAAGACTGTTCATTCTCCCAGTAGTCTTTGGTGCAATCTGTTTCCAACGCTGGGATTGATGAGTGTCTGAGAACAGTGTAGGAGGGCTGCCTGAGCATGACTGAGCCACAGAGTTAAAAAAAAACCACAACAACCCAACAAAAAATAATAGATCCATTTCAAATACAAAATTAAATTCAAAACAAGCCAGCTAAGTTTATTGTCTGGATTATTAATTGTGCTGGATTGTTCAGCTGCCCTGAGAATGTCACTTTAATCATTCAGTGAGTCTAAAGCCTGTGTCTCCAGAGATCATGTTCTGATCTCTCACATATGCTACATCGCACTGTTCATTAGACCCACCAGTCCAGTCACATGGAAGTGATGTTCAGACTATTTCTATCCGTATCTGCTGCTTCTCTTCCTGCATGTGTCAGTCCCACGATGGGGGCGGCGACTCCAGCTCATACAGACACAATTGCTGATTGCAAAGAGAGACACAGCCACAAAAATGAAGAGGACTTTAAATCCATCATGGTTCAGGCTTCATAAGAAGTCTCTGCTTCACAGAAATGTAGATTCCCTTAGGGAAGGAGAGTGCTGAGGTGTATAAGATCACAGACACCAACAGGTGGAAAGAAGATGAGTGACCCTGGGGACAAACAGCTGGGCTAGGATGCCCAAAATGTGGGCTCAACTCCAAGAGGAAGGAAAATGTTTCACCAGTGTCATGAGATTCAGCTCTCTACACCTTGTGCAGTTTCAAAAATCTGGCTAATTGGCTTTGGTGGTGAAATGGGAGCAGGGATTCCCTTTGCTCAATGGGACATGGGATTTCTTGCTCTTCCCTCTGAACATTTGGTGCTGGCAGTAGAGAAGTGAGGAACAAGGTAATCTTATCCAGGATCTTGCAGTTGGGGATGACTTCTGGTTCCCTCTGGAAGGACAGATCTCAGATGGAGTCCAGCTAAGGATGTAGTGAGCTCATGTTTGGAGCCTGTCTCCAGACACACATGCAGAAGGTTTGCTACTGGTGGCTACCACTAGAAAGCAGGTCAAGGGATTCCCAGGCAGCTCAGAGTGCTTGTCAGGGGACCCCAAAATGTCACATCCAACTTCTCACCCTCCACTATGTTAGGGGGGAGCTGGTGAGTGATGTATGAAGTGTTGAGTCAGTATAAATGTCATAACCCTCTTCAGAGTCAGGGTAACAACAGGAGGAGACAATAGTGCCAGGAGTTCTGACACAGGGAAAACACTGTCATTGACAGCACCTCCAGCTTGGAGATTTATTGATGGTAACTTGAGATGTGCCATAAACAGGGGTGATATTAAATGAGTCTGACTGTTTCAGGGGCTAAGTTTTACAACCCAAAGTGTGAACTCTCTCTGTCCCACTGAAATCATGAAGCATTTTTCCAGCCATCTCACTAAGTGCCTCCGAAGCAGGACTCTGACCTGAGAGTCCTCCCTGCACGGCACAGTGCCAGCTGCTGGGATCAAACACAAATATCCACTGGAGAACCCAGCATGCACACATGGAGCTTAGTGATAGAGGCCTCCCAGTCCACCACCACTGCCCCTCTGGGCCCACAGCCTTGCCCACCGTGGCTTTGTAAGGAAACTAGAAATCACCACACAGATGTCCCAAAGTACCAACAACACCACTGACCTCAGTGCCAGCAGCTCATGCTCAGGGGCAAACCTCCCTGAAACTGTACTATGAATGTATTGAATCTCTGTGAACATTTGCTGAGATGCCCTCTCAGCAAGGTCTCACTCAGCCTCTGAAGTCAAACCCAAGGTTTCCTCCTGGAGTCATTGGCTGAAAAGGGCTGTGCTATCATGCTTTCCTGCTGCTCCTTGAATGCATGTGGGCTGCAATATCAAGCTCTAGCTGCAGCCTTTTTCTTTCATAACTAATCAGCTCCAGAGGTCAGACAGTGGCCACTGCATGGAGGCAGGACTTGGTGAGCCATTGTGCTCTTCTGCTCAGGGGTTCCCTTGTTCAGGTAACACATTTTATCCCAGAAGCAGAAAAATCACCAGCAAAGCCCTAAGGATACTGAATGTGCTCTCCTATGTCACTTCTGCCTATCAAATGTAAACAGGCCTGTGGAGATCAAAGGCAGAGCACCCCAAGGCCACAAACCCTGTTCTTCACAAGCTGCATTCACCAACTCACAGACCTTGAGAAAAATTATCTAGTCCAGAAAGTCTGCAACTTATCTCAGGGAAAAGGTTTATTTTGGTGACTTCTCTGAGAAACCTCCTTGTCCTTCTGCCCTCATGACCTTTCTCTCTGTTCCTCCAGTCTGCTCGCAGTTCTCCAAGGGCGTCTACGCCATCTTTGGGTTTTATGAGAGGAGGACGGTCAACATGCTCACGTCGTTCTGCGGGGCTCTCCATGTCTGCTTCATAACACCAAGCTTCCCAGTTGAAACGTCCAACCAGTTTGTTCTCCAGCTTCGCCCAGAGCTTCAGGATGCCCTCATCAGTGTCATTGAGCACTACAGCTGGCAGAAGTTTGTGTACATTTATGATGCTGACCGAGGTAAGCCACAAGTACATGGCAAGAGTTGCCAGGCAATAGCGGTCTAGATTGAGTCTTTGCCTCAAGAAGTCCCCTACTGTGAGTTGTTGGAGGTCAAGGAGGTGGCTAGAGGAAGGGTCACCCTGAGCCTTCCCTGTCCTCTATTCATTTTCTAAATATCCCTTACTGCTGAAGGTGGGCATTGAGCTAGATGAAACATTAGCCTGACCCAGCATGTCTGTTCACAGGGTCAGGCCTGAAGCTCATCAACATGAGGGAAATCTTGAATGTGTGATTTTGAGTTTCAGATAAGGAAATTGTTTATATTGAATATGTCCCTTTCTTAAGTCCATCCAGCTCAAGGTCACCGAGTCCCATGTTTATGACAGTGAATTGAAAAGTGCTCAGGTCACACCTCAGGCCACATCCAGCCATGATACGTGTGTGTGTTTCTGGCAGATACCTTGGAAAACTCCAAGTTAGTGAGTGATAGTTGTTTATGTAAAATAACGAAGATTCTTGGAAGATATTATCTGACTTTCTAAACCATGAATAGAACTAGAGACCTCATTATCCTATGATTCAGTTTTTCCAGCACCCAGATGCCTTTAAGGCTCCATGCTTGTAGGCTGAGAGAAAAATGGACCTGTGGAGGACAGCACAGAGGTGAGGGTGATTCACAGCTCTGTCCTGGAAGTTATTAGCAGCCCTTGTAGGGACAGGATGACCTTAAGAGACAAGGAGAAGATGTAAAAACATCCCACCCTGCATTTTGTTCTCAGGAGACATGGGAAGTCTGAAAGGATTGCAATAGGCAAGGCTGTCCAGCAGGATTACAGAGCAGCACTTTCTACGTGTATTCCCCCTGAAGAGCTGTGGATATAATTTAGGCAAGATTTTCTTTAAAATAATGAAGTTTTCTGATGAGATGCTGTGGAAGATTCTGTTGAGATGTATTATGATTGCTCACGGTGTCCCTAACCCTAGGTGCATAGAACTTGAACAGATCCAAGATGAGAAGGGAGCTATGACCCAAAGAGGTTATGATTTGGGTAGTGACAGACAAGAATGATGGGTGTGAAGATGGGGGTGAAAACTCTTATATTAATTCCACACCAGGACCTAATCAATGAGACTGATCTGCTGATTCCAAAGAAAACGGGGCCTGGAATCATCATTCCTGTGCTAGGGCAGAAAAAGCAAGTAATTAATTCTAGCCCAGCTGTGTTTGGGCAAGATGCTTGCCTGTTCACTGCTCTCTGTAGGTTCTCTTGTGATGCTGTATCCAGTCCAGCTTGAGGCAGCTCTGGAGGCTGTTAGAATGATGGAAAGATGTCACTGCACAACTAAAACCTGGTTCTTCCCCTGCTGACCTCTTTCTTCTCTCTTCCTATTACAGGGTTGTCAGTCCTGCAGAAAGTTCTGGATACTGCAGCTGAGAAGAACTGGCAGGTCACAGCTGTCAACATCCTGACCACAACAGAAGAGGGCTACCGTGTACTCTTCCAGGAGCTGGACAAGAAGAAGGAAAGGCTGGTGGTGGTGGACTGTGAAACTGAGAGGCTGAACATCATCCTTAACAAGGTCGAGTTGGTGCAAGTCTTCTGGGAGGGGTCTTGCATGCAGGGAAGGGTTGTTTCTTCTGGAGAAGTTCTCCCCAGTCTTGCCTGATCCGTGTCTCATTACAGCTCTCGCTGGCTGTGGTGTGTGCATTGCAACTGCTGCTGAGCTTCATTCATTTCTCCTGTGTGTTATTGTAGAAACTAAAGCCATTTACTAGGAGCTCCCATGTATTCCTGTTTTTTTTTCTAGGATCTCCCATGTATGCCTGCTGAGTGAGCTCTGCTGCTCCATCGTCCCTACTTGTTTGACTCCTCTGCAGAGACTTTTACACCCCCTTACTCCCCAGCAAGTCTGCTTTGTGCTAATTCTTCCAAGCAGAGTGAACTAGACGTGGCGCTTCCTTATTCTGCTGAGTTTTTTGTTGGTTTTCCCACCTCCTGTGAGTTAGGGTGGAGGTGTGAATCAGCACTGCCAGGCCTCCAACCTCCAGGTGCTGCACCAAGTTCTCACAACCACTGCCAGCAGGACAGAGATGGGGAAGCTTTATGGTACATTTGTAGTGTCCTCAGTAGCACTATCTCCAGAGGAGTATGGAGCTCAGCATCCAGGTGGTAGCAGGATTGGATGTTTCCAGTTGGTCCTGTGCCTTGTAGCAATAAAGACTTGTTCACTCCCAGCTATCTCCTACCTGTTTAGCCAGCTCATGGCTTCATCAGTCAGGTTGTGTGCCTTGCCTTACTTGTCCTCAGTCTAGATAGGTCACCCAGTAGCGCAGACCCAAATTTTCCCCATCCTCTTTCCTCCATGCTTCCTTTAACACTTTCTATAAGGCCTGAATATGGACTTTTATGACCAGGAGACCCATGGACATCTCTCAGTCCACACTACTGTCTGCTACTCACACCTAAGGCCAAGGCTTTCACTACTGCTGGGCCTTGTGTCCCACATGGCTTAGGAAAGGCCTCAGGGTGCCATGCAGCTGGTGTGCTGTGCCTCCCACTGTCGTAGCTCTCATAACTCTTGCCTCTTCCTTCACATGGTGCTTTGTGCAAGCTACCTGTCATCTCCTGTCTCACACTTCAGCTGCTCACTGTCTGGGGCAAGCCTGCCATTCCACCAACTGCACAGCTCGACGGCAAACACAATCCATCCTTGTTGCCTGTCTCTGGGGGCTACTTTATTATATATAATAACAAAGCACGTAGCATGTTTTAACCTCAAATAAAGGTCATGCTCATGAAGAAGAGACCGGTTTATTCTGGAGGGTAAAGACTTGTCTCTGACCTTGGAGTAGCTGCAGATGAAATTTTTTCACAGGACCTAGGCAGTGAATTTGCCTTTTCTGCAAGCTTTCCTATAGGGTATATCAGATTTCTAGGGTTAATGGGGTTGGTTTTTCAAGCATGGTTTGTCTAACAGAAAGTTAAGCTCTGTAGCCAAATATTATCTACATTTTCTAACATGAACAGAATATAAGTATTTCTTTCAAAATTCTTCACGTAACTGGACCAAGAGTTAAACTTATACATAAGTAAAGTTATTTGCAAGAACACTGACAATCCAGATCTTGCAATTATTTGTTTTGCAATGCTGTAAAAAACCCTCCATTCCAAGGGAAAAAGGGAGGAGTTTTTCTACATTAAAGACAGAGCAATTCCAACAGACATCTGTGTCTAAGAGGCAACACTCCTATTAGGAACAGAGATGTGAATAACTTTTTCAGACTCCTGTAGTCCATTTTCATCCTCATTTGCTTTCTTGTTCTGATTCCACAGAGATTTCTGAGAGCAGAGGTAATTTTCCCAGCGTAAGCAGAGGATGTCAGGTCTTCCACAGCACGCATATGAGTGGAGAGGGTCAAAGATAGTGCTCAGCTCATTATCATGTGAAATTCAGCTGGAACTTAAACTCAGGGCTGGTTGCTGGTCTCTCAGCTCACCTCACCAGTGACCTCAGAATGGATGTCACTGCTCTGTTTGCCTTGTCTCTCAGAGTGTCTGAGGTGTTCAAAGAGCTGCCTCAGCCTCTCAGGGACATTTAAATGCATTTATTTTCTTCCTCCACAAGCCTGTCTCTGTTTCTTGGTGGCTGTGGATTTGGACTCCCTGGCAAAGAGAAGAGCTAGAGTTGGCTGTTTATCATCAGTCCCTCACATGTACACACTTTTAAATTCTTCTCCTCACTCCATACACATGCCATAAATAACCACCACTGACTCCAGCAAGGCCGTACTCACCTTCTGGAAACCGTAGCTGTAGAGGAGTCAGTGTTCAGTGTGTTAATGATCTATAGGAAAATCCCTTGATTTCTTTCTTGGAGATTTCTCTGTCAGGTCTCAAGGGGGTGCTTTATCTTTGCTGAGGTAACTGTCATTTATGGGCCAGGCCTTGGTTCAGGGCAGGATATCCATGGGCTATGCTGTGTAGCCTTAATGGGATAAATAAGCAGTGGGTTGTATTCCTTCAAAGCCCTGTATTGTTTCTTCCTTGTCTCTCATTAAAATGAATAACTGAAATTTCTCCTTTGCCACTGTTTCACTCTGAGAGGATTTCTCTCTAATAGATGTCAAACTGGCCCATTAAGAAGTGGGTAATGAAACCTAGGTGGCCCAAGTGAGCTATCAGCATGCAGCCCAGCACAGCCTCTCACCATGTTCAGGCTAAGTGATAAATGCTATTATAACCTCAGCTTGCTACTGCCATCCGGACACATTAGGACTGAGCAAGCATTTTAAAATAAATTAAGATCACAAATAACTGTGTAAAACACAGGAAGCAAGCCTCATAATTCAGGTGGATGGGCTGCAAGATTAACAGCTCAGGGAAAGCTGGATGGCAGCCCTCTCCGGTTCATCGACTCTGATGCCTAATAAAATAACAAAAGCAGAGTTTGGGCAGAGGAGCCAATGCCAGTGATTGTTGACACTGGAGAAATGGGGAATTGGATTGTAATTCTTAGACATCCCAGTGCCCTGGAGATGCTTCTTCCTCCCACAAGGTCTGGGACTTACTACAAAGATCAGTCTCAGTTGATTAATAGAAGGGGACAAGTTTGGTCTGGTTTTGCTTCTCAGATCTGGCAATGGAAGATACTGAGAAGACTACCCATAATAGGAGTATATACCTCTGAGGCCTTAGGTATACAGAGTTTTTTTCTGAGGACTCCAGACTACTCAACAGAAATCATACTGAGGGACACTGTGTGGATAATCACAGGCCAGTGAAGCTGGTGGAGCTGATATTACTTCTGTAAGAAACAGTTACTAAATGAAGCCTTCATTGGAGTTAATTGCCACCCCCACGTTAATGCTGGGAAGCAGATGAGTTTTAATATACATACAAGAGCACTTCATCAGAGAAAGGCTAAGGCAGATGAACCAGTTGCACAGAGCAAGTGTCAGCTCATTTATAATCCATTTGGAAATCCCTAAATGGCTGCTCATGATAATCTGGGAGAGCTGTTCCATAGGGAGGATCAGTCTGTGAATGCCCTATCCTGACACTTCTCAAACACCTGCTACCAGCCTGGTATCAGAGAGAGGTCCTGGGTAGACTGGTCTCTGGTTGAATCTGACACAGCAATCATTTTATTATCATTCTGGCTGTGAGAATGTTTCTGGCCCCTCTACTGTTTGTGCAGATTTTGCCTGAGCTTTGGCAATGCAGGCTGGAATCAATTCATATGACAATGGAAATAAGAGGTAGTGTTGCCAGCAAAGAAACCTTATGGAAACAGCACAATTCTCCCAGGAACTGGCAATTCATGTGTTTGTGCAGGTTCTGAGGGTATGGTGGTTTAGATTATTTTTTTTTCCACTGTCATCCTTCTGAATGTGGTTTTACCAAAATGCAGATTGTATCTGGCTCTAGTAACCTGGTAAGAATTTAAACATGTTGCGAGAAATCAGTGCAAAGGAATTTCAGTGGCAAAATGGAGTCAGCAAGAATTTTAGCTCTATTCTTTCTGTATTATTTTTTAAATCAAGGAGAAAAAGATAGAGACAATCTGATCAATGGCTCTGTCCCTATAATCATAGGCAAGTTGTAACAGTTGGTGCTTTTCTACCTAGACAAGGGAAACTTTTCCAGCTAACATAGAAGCTTCCAAATGTCACAGATCTGTAAGCAATTGTGTTAATAGAAGAGAATAAAAACCTAACTCTGCAGGGATCAGGGAAGAAAGAGTAAGTGGCAAAGAGCATATATTTGGACGGCATGAATATGAAGATATAAATAATCTCAATGAACATGCAAAGGGAATCCTCTGGGACTTGTCCAGGCAGCTTTGTTCTGGACATGTGGTTTGAAGCTAGCTCAGTGCATTAAAGGACAAAAATTGTCCTGCAGTCTAAACCTCCTGCCACCTTGCCCAGGTAAGTGTCTGCAGCAGGGGCTCCAGCTCAGAGCATGAGCAAAAAACCTCTAGTCTTGCTTGATGTTTCAGCTGCATTCACAGGACAAATGGACCCCAGCTTCCCACCTTGTTTCTTTAACATCTGAAATATAAAACTTTTTTAACCTTGTTTTTTAAAAACAAAAACTACAGGTGTGTTTTGTTTTTTTTTTCCCTGAGCCCCCAAGAGACAGGTTGCTTGAGGCAGTTAACCCTTGTCCTGTCTAGTTTCAAACTTGCTGCTCAAATATCATTTGTGAAAGTTCAGTCCATCCTCTAACAGAGTTGTGAAGTTTTCTCTTGATATGTCTTCCTGTCCACAGCTGAACAGACTTCCCAGGGAAAAATGGGTGAGGAGGAAGGATAGATAAGCTCTTCTTTCTTACTTGCTCTCCACTAAATATCCTTGGTTTTCATCTTGCAGATCATCAAGCTTGAAAAGAATGGGAATGGGTACCACTATATTCTGGCAAATTTGGTGAGTTGCACTCCTTGGTAGGGTTGGGTTTTTTTGCTGTCTCATATTTTATAAAGCACTATATTTTAATCACTGAGCTGCACATCTTTTTTCTTATCCTCCTTTTGGTTAGAAAAATACCTAAGTTCTTCGTGGTGTTCTCCTTATGGTGTTTTCTCTCTTGAACCAGTAAGATCATCTGTAGAGTATCCTCAAGGTTGCTGGGGTTTGATTTTTATTTTTTTTTTAGTTAGGTCAACAAGAAGCTGTTGACTTTGGTAACAACTTGAGTTTTCTAACTAGTTTTAATACTATTTCAGTAGACATTCTCCAGATTAAATGTTTCACAGCTGTCCTGGGCCTCCCTACAGGCAAACTTGTTAGTGATGATGCACCAAGCTCCCTCTAACCTTGCAGTAAAAATAAAGCTTGTACCTATTCTGCGGCTCTAAGGGATGAACTGGATGTAAAGATTTCTTTAAGGAAAAGGTTCTTCCTTTACTGCCGGGAGGTGCTGCCTGAGGACAGAGCAGTACTGGACAGTGGCAGGGCCATCCTCCTGGAGCCAAATGCTGCCCTCATCTAGGAGGATGGAGAATTTCTCTGCCTAGGGAGGTCTGGGAGAAGGTAAGAAGGAGTGGAATAGTAACCTCATTCCATAGGACAGCTGAAGGTTTTCCACAGCAGAGCTCCTACCCTCTCCTTCCCGGGTGTGTCAGTCCATCTGGGGGGATGCACAGCAGACGACAGGCTGCTGGTGGTGGTGGTGATGGTCTAGTTCTGAGCTGAACCCCTGACCTGCTGTGTCTGTGCCGGGTGAGCCACGGGCTGGAGCCCTTCTTCCCTCCTGCAGCTGCATCTGTGAGGCAGCACGTCAGGCCAGGGGTAATTAAACTTTAAACTACCAATTAGTCAAACAGTTACTGCCGTTCTCCTTCTCTCAGTCCCAAGATAACTCTGTAATTTACAAGACAAAAATGGCCACATAATTACCCTGCTATGCCCCGATACTGACCCTGCAGTTCTGCGCTGGCGCCTACTGTGTAATTACAAAGTTAAAAATGTAACGTTGTGCAAGGGGAGATGTGCAAACTGTAGAGCAGACAATAACTTCAGTCCTGGTCCTGAGATGTTTATGAAAGTCCCTTCAGTAAAGTTAAGCAGGGAAGTGACCTGGAGTAGCTGGAGTGTGTCTGGGTGTTTTTATATATAGCCATGTGAAGGCTAAATTAAAATTATATCAGCTCTTCTCTCTGCACGTTTTCGTAAGGATAAATACATTAAAGGAATGGGGTAGTCTAATACTCAGGTGTTGGAGTTTTGCAGGACATTTTCCTCAGTCTTATGATACCTCGTTCTCTGACTTCTAGCCTGAGGAAGCACACTTTTCCCATCTTTAATTTGTTTTCTTAGCCTTTGCTCAAATGCTGAGAGGACAAAGGTGACTGGAAGAGGCTGCATACTCAGCCAACATGGGTTATAAATAATTAACTCAGAGCAAAAGGCTTTACATTTCCCCAGCCCCTCTGCAGGAACCTTCTGCCTCCCAGCTGCAGGGCAGGAGAGGATGCTTTGGGTCCTCAGGACCCACAGGGTCTGATGGGACCACCAGAATTCACTGTTACTAGCTGTGCTTTTCATGCAGCTTTGATCTGGTGGGAGAAGAAGAGTGAAAAGAATTAAAGCAGTTTCCTTTGGTCTTTCCTGCTCCTTAAAACTCAGCATTGCATAAGAGCCAGATGCCAGAAAGAGGAATATTAAATTTTTTTAAAAAAATTAAAAAAACCCAATCAAACAAAAAACCCAAATCCAACAACAAGACTAGCATCTCTCAAGGTTGAGAAGGCCCTTTCCAGGCCAGAACCAGCTTTGTGGTTCTGCCATGTGCACAGGCAGGCTCAGGCACCAGAAGCCAGTTCATTTTCTGTGATGTGCTGCACCCACATGAGACCTACTCACTGATCAGTTCAACAAGGAGAGTGGTAAAAAGGCCATGAAGACCCCATGTTCCTGAGACCATACGGTAGTGAGGAAGTACAGCAAACCTCCCTGCAGGGGGTTGTTATAGGGAATTAGGGTTAAACCATAGTGTGGATTGAAGAGAACGCATTAGGTTTTACCCCCCTCTAAGGACATTGCTGGGTTAGGGCCTTCAGAGGGTGTAACATGCTGTAATTTATTCCCACTGACTCATACATATAGTGGATAGGCCTTAAACACCACACATTTTCCCCTGTAGACAAGCCCTGAGATGACAGGGTGTGCGTTGCCCACACACACACACACGTGTATCCTCATGTTCAACCCACATGCCTGGAAAATAGCCCAATTCTGTGGAAGTGGCTCATTCCAGAGTACTAGGTCATAAGAGAATAAATTAAGCACTAAAAACTGCAAGTGCCTGAGCACTTCCAAATCAGTATTTTTTTCTCCCCTGTGCTAACTGATGGAGTTCTAATTTCAAGGCTTTGATCCCATATGAAGATAAGGCTCCCAGCCTTGGCTGGGTCAGGTTCTGCCTTGCACCAGTCAAGTGAGTCCTGAGCTGGTTTGTAGCCACCAAGTTACCTGCACTAGCTGAAGCAAGGTGATGAATTTAAAATATTTGCTTTTTTTAACACTGCCTAACCTTCTTGAGCCCTTTCCCATGGGAAAACAATTATGGAAATGACATATTGGAAGCAAATGTTGGAAAATATTTATGGATAACCCCACCAAAATTCTTATTTTTAGCTATATGTTTTTTCAGAGCTATATTCAGCAAAAAAAACCTGCAGCAGCACACGACTGCCCAGTTACAGCAGCTCCAAACTGGTGTTGCATCAGGAATGCAAAGCAAGCAAGTTTGTAAGGCAATGCACAGGCTGAACAAGAACTATAAAAATCACCCAATGGACACATTTTGAACATGGAGAAATTCCCTGTCTGGTCACAGACAATTCATGAAAAAGGAGGAACTGGTTTGCATTAATCACTGCTTGTTTGCCCAGTGGTTGCTGTCAGGTGAGCTGTAGCAAAGCACCAGGCAGAATTTGACAAGCAGCAGCAAATGAAAGCTAGTATTTCCTAGCAGGAACAGCTTTGTTTTTCAGTGAAATTTCTGTTGCTAAGGTGAGACAATAATATAGCTGTGTTCACCAACAAAATGAAATGGTTCCACACCTTAAGCCATGGGCAAACATCCTTCTCTGAATCTGCTATGCCTGTTAAAGGCACAACTTGTCTTCTATGCTCAGCCTTGCCCATCCCACAAAGGTCTGTCTGCAACATCACTGCCATGGGGAAGGGTTCCTGTAAGCATCCCTGCCTCTCCTTGAGCCAAATTTGTCATTGCCTATGGCCCTTCAAACTCAAGAAAATCTGATCCCTAACCAGTACCTGTTAGAGTTACCCCAACTTGCTTCTACCAGCTGCCAGCCTGGATATTTCTCAGGTGTACCGGCTGCAAACATATATCTCCCTCTCTCTGTCTCTCTCTCTTTGTATCCCTGTTTTAATCTCTGTCTCTCTCTCTTTGTATCCCTGTTTTTCTTTTTCTTTTTGGAACTCAGAGAGGTTTGGCAACTTTGAGGAGTTTTTGGTTTTGTGTGTCTTAGTTTCTAAGCTTTGTTCTTGGACTTTGAAAGCATCAGTCTAGCAACCACAAAGAAAAAAATAATACAGTCAATACTATCAGAAGAGAAAGCTTGGAAACTTCTGGGATTTCTTTCTTTTGATGTTACAGGCTTTTTCCACATAACCTTGGCTTTATGCATCTGTTTGTCCTATACCAGGGCTGTAGACTGACTGCTGTCAGTAGTAGAACATCAGCTCTTTTGGGCAGAGTAAAATCTTTGTCTTAAAATAAGTGACATTCATGTGACCTCTCTTTAAAAGAAAGTATGAAAGACAGCTGTCACAGATAGTAGTTTAGCCTTTTTTTATTTTCCTGATGCATTAGTCCAGGTTGTTCTTTTAGCAAATGCTCTCATTTGAAGTTGAGCAGATAAGTATATGAGATTGCTGATGCCAGGGGTAGTGGGGAGAAGTAAAGATAAAACCAGAGTTGATTAGCAAGGGTAAGCATTTTTTCCTGTGCCATTTTACATCAGCCTGTGTCAGTGCTGGGTTAGGTTAGAGTTTCACTTTGCAAGCAGTTGTGGTAGCTTTGGATGTTAACAGCACAGCAGCTTTGCCAGCAGAGTGGCTTGTGCAGCAGTCAGGCAAAATGTACTGGTTTGATTCCATTCATCTGTGGTTTACACAGACCTCTTTGATTGTTTCTCTCCAAAAATGGAAGGGAGACCTTCTGCACCACCAAGGCTGAGACTGCTGACTGCAGGTGCTATCAAGGTCAGCCCTACTCAGGTTTGCACCTCCATCTGACTGGAACCTCTCTTTTGTGGGAGTTTCCAAAAGAATATGTATTGCATCAGCTGCTTGTCCTAGTAAGATCTCAGGATGCCTGGTCTTGAAAAATTACATTCTTCTGTTGGAAAGAGATGCCCTAAGTTTCTAAACTTGCTAAAATTTTCAGATTTCTAAAATTGTGCCAGTTAGACCTTTTTTCTTTCTGAGAGATTGGTGCAAGTAGGCTCCTGGGAAAACTTGGTTTTCCAGACAGAGGAAGACAATATATCAGCAAAATTTCTGAGGTCTGCATTTCACTTCCAAATAGTTTTTCTGTCCTGATTCAAAAATTATTAAGCAGAAGAGACTCTTAAAATATTATCTCATCTGAATTACTACTAATAAGAGACACAGCAGTGCCCTGAATTAAATTTTGCTTGAATTAGAGCATCTCATGTAAAAGAAAATAATCTGGTTCTTGTACAAAAGTTGCCCACATGGGAGAATATGAACTGCAACCTTGGAAGGATTTTTGCAGGAGCTAATGAGGACTCAAAAATATGAGTGACTTACTGTGGCTTAAAAAAAATTGCTGAGCATCAGGTGAGTAACTGACAGATTATATTACAGCCATTAGAAGGAAAAATGTGTTTGTTTAAATCTTAGCAGAAAGGTGTTAAATGAACAGATTTCCTCAGCCATTTGCAGTCTCCTAATTCATTACCCAAGCTCATCTGGCATGGGGTGACATGTAAATCCACAGGATCTTCCTCATGGTGACTTCATCAGTGCTTTATTCTAGTCCAAATTTTCTTAGCTTCAGCTTTCTCCATTGGATTTATGTTTCTGTTTGCTAGACCAAATATTCCATTACTGATGCTTTGGTCCTTGTAAACTGTGATCAGGTCATCCCTTAATCATATATTTGATCGAAGTCTTGGCATTTGTCACCACACAGCATGTCTCCCAAACCTTTAAATGAATTTCTGCTCTGAAAGCTCTCTAAAGCACAAACATCCAACTAGAGCATCTGTCCCTCTGCCAGGACTGAGCTTTCCAACAAGATCTGTAGGACCATATCTATCCAGAATGTGCTGCAGCAGTAGGATAGGGCTGATGCAAATAATATCACAAAGAAAATATGTACAGCTGTACCAAAAAAAAGTTACACGTCATCTCCAGCCCAATATCCTTTAAGTCTGGATACTCACCTGGCTTGGTTTGCTTCGATAGACCAGGAAAAACAGACTCATCAAACTTTGGGATTGAGACTCTGTGTGATAGTGACCCCCCCTTCATGTTTTACTTTTCCCTTTCTTCTCCATTTACTTCTATGTTACAGTGAGGACTCAGTTGTTTTGCTGCCACGATGAGTTTTGACACATGAATAATTGCAGAAGAGAAGAAGGCCTGTCCATGCTGGAACAAGGCTTGAGCAGATGGGCTCTGTTTTGAAGTACCCTCCTTATTAATGCAAAGTGATGGGAGTGAGGAATGATGCTTCACTGCAGAAGTCAAGCTTGAAGATAATTTGGTCTATTAGGGATGCTCTGTCTGGAAAAACTCAACTTCTTTCTTTTTGCAGAAAGACACTGATGTACCTTGGAAAGACAGGAGCCACTGTGCATTCCCTCAGCTGATCAACAGCCACTCAGAGGCAATTGTTTTGCTTTGCAAAGTTTCATATAATCATAAAGTCTGCTGGGAGGAAGCAGTCTGGCATTGCAAGCCACACATGGATAACATCTAAAGAGAGCTGGACCAGTTTCCTGATGCTGCCACAGGTTTCTTTGTCACGCACCCAAGCTCAGGGTGTATTAGTTAAATGCTTTTTGCTCCCATAAGGAGCAATGCCAGCCAGTGTCATCAGTGTGCAGAGGTAAGGCAGAGGTTTAGGACAGTGAGGCAGTGAAATGCGAGGGTGAAAGAAGAGATGAGGGAAATTTAGTGGTGCTGACAGATTTGAGGAAGGTCATGAACAAAGGAATGAGGCTTTCCTACACCTCCTGACAGCCATCTGCACTGCCCTCTCCATGCCTTGGCTCCTCAAGGTGTTCAGGGTATAAATAAGGAGCTGACTGCTCTCTTGGGGACTGTCTTTTCAAAGCAGATCCTTTGTGGGCCATTTAATCAAGATGGATTCACAAGGCTCATTTCAAGTCATCAGTCTTCCTGCATTATACATTTCTGTTGATGACTGAGCCCACAAGCAGGGGAGAGGAATATAAATGTGTGACTTGCTGACACCTCTTCCAGTGAACAAGGCAGTGAATGGGACAGTAAAACAACCTTTGGCTGAAAACTGTTTTCTGTTTAAGAAAAGCATAAAGAACAGATGCAGCAAGGAAAACACAATGAGGAAAAAACCCTTCCCAATACCATTCTATTTTCTATTTGAAGGCATGAAGGTCTGTAACAGCTGCCCGTAATATTTACTAGCAGCAGGACTTCTGCATGGAATAGCTTTCTGAGGCCTAGGGATGCAGAGGAGTCCGTGGTGTGGGCTAAAGAGCAAGTTTCTTCCTTTGAACTGAGCTTGGCTGTTGCTCAAACTCTGTGTTGCAGATGCTGTGACTCAGAGCAGGCTTGGAGGAGGGAGGCTCAGCCCAGCAGTGTAGATGAGTCCAGATTTTTGTGGCTTATTGTCAGCCTGCTAATTCCATGGCTTTCAGAAAAAGGCAGGCATTTTCCAGGCATATGCAAAGCAGGAGGCCCTATTCTCTGGTTTGCTGAAATGATATTGTGAAGTGAATTTAAATTGAACCCAAACTGCTTGATACTAAACATACTGCTGCAAAAGCACATCTGCTGTCCCTCAGAAGGGGGCTGCAGCCTTTACTTGGACAATTTTTAAGAATTTATTTTCTTTTTCCAAAACATGGCCAATTGAAAACTAAATGGAAGATCCCTTTACTTTGCAACATGTGGCTATAGTTAGTACATGGTGACAGATGACTGATGACATCTTTACTTGCAAATATTGTAATTCTCCTGTTCTCCTGCTTCCTACAAGCACTGACTGATAATCCAGACAGACAGAGAAGTATATTTAATTCCAGATGCCACTTTGTCAATAGAAGCATTTTCAAGAGACAGCTTGCATAACATTTCATATTTTCTTGTTTATATGTTAGCCAGCAAGAGCTCACCTCCTCTGGGAATTGTTTTCTAAAATATCTGATCTCTGGTATTCCAAGTCCGTTGGCTGTTGCTTCACCCAGGTCTGCTCTGAGCAGAATTCAGTGATGGAGTGATAAAAATTCCTTTATAATTAAGATTTCATTCCTATACTGGCTTTTTCCTGGAGCATTTGGAGGAGGGATAACAGGTGAAAACAGTTATATCAGCTGTCGATAACAGCAAAAATGCAAATGCATATTCAAGGTTAGCTATGTCCCCTATGGTCCGAACTGCTTTAAACAACTGGAAAAACTTCAGAGGTCCACACACTTTTTAAAGAACCTGAATTGTGTCAAAAATCAGTGGGGGAAAATTAGTACAATTTTCAAAAAGAAATAATTCCCTTTGTCTATTTGATTTATTTTTAAATTGTATGTTAAGATGAATCCCAGTGAATATTGTTGAGTACTTGCTTCAGTTTCAGGATGGGGAAAGATGGTGTTTTCAACTACTGCTGTCTTGTCACTGGTATCATAATTTGCTTTTTACTTTTCCTATTTAAATTTGCTTGTTGCAGAAGCTAAATGCACCAGACATCTCACTAATTCTCTGTTGTGAAATTGGACTTCTTCTTCATGCCTTTGTAAGCCTTCCAATGAGGGGCTGGAGGCATAAACTTCAAGTTGTTGTGTGGTAGTTTCTTTTGACAGATCTTTTTTCCCCTGAGCACTGCCTATGAGCAAAATGTCAGTGTAATTTGGTCCTAGGCATGAATAGCCAGTTGGTAACCTGTGAGGTCCCTCTTACAGAACCTTAGGAACTTTGTGTGTCAAAAAACACTCAGCCTGAAATGCATTAAGATGTCAGGGACAATTATTCTGCTGCATTTCCTATTCATTAATCACAGCTCTGGTTTTCTGAAACCCCTACGCTAGCAATTACAAACAAGATTGAGGTGGATTTAACCAGCATTCTGAGGAACACATACACACAAAACATCATCTGGTTTTATGATTATTTTTTTTGTAACTAAAGAACTGTGCTTTGAAGCAAAACATTTCATCTATTTAGAGCACCTGTACACCTATATTCAATCCTCAGCGTTGTAAGGGGATGCCAAATTGCTTACAAAAGCTGGAAGAAAATGTGTGGAAGTCTTTAAAGACATATTTGAGTCACTTCTGACTCCCTCAGCCTGATGCTGATGTGAGAGGGCAATTTAGTCTTCTCTCTGCAGGATGCCAGTTCCCAGAACAGGTTTCCATCCATGCTTGATCCTGCCCTTGGAAGGTGATCATCTAATTAGCTCCCTCAGTCTAGGCACAGAGCACCATTTTGGGACCTGACCAGTGTCTCCTGGGAATAATGTGACTTGGTTTTTTTAACTCGCACCATCATCACATGTTTGAGAGTAAGCACAGGAGAGAAAACCCTGTAGTAAGTCGAGAAGGTGCCTGTGGGGAGCATAGAATCATAGAATGGTTAAGGTTGGAAGGGACCTTAAAGATCATCAATTTCCAACCTCCCTGTTATGAGCAGAGACACCTCACACAAGACCAGGCTGCACAAGACCTCATCCAATCTGGCCTTGAACACCTCCAGGAAGGGGTCACCCACAACCTCTCTGGACAACCTATTCCAGTGCCTTACTACCTTGCATGCACTAGGAAGGCAGAGCTCAAACAAGCTCTTCTGTTGCTCAAGTGATTGCATTGTGCACAGTTCTCTCTTTCATTTTCCTTCATGCATTATGGGTCCTGACAGAACTAGAAAAATAAGTGACTGCTTCTCTTGTGCTTGTATTCCAAAAGAAAAAGCCCCAGTACTTCAGCCTGTTCCACACAGGGCAGCCCAAGCAGGAGGACGGAGGCTCTGATGAAGCACCTGCTTTGTGTAAGGAGACACAGCAAACAGTTTTGCAAAGTAACAGTGCTGGAGAGATAGGATCAAAGCTCAAAAAACGACCTCTTCTCTGTATCACTTGCAGTGTTGTACTGATTACTCTTTCGCCTCTGACTCAACAAGAAGGACTAATTCCACAGTGCCACCCTGATACATGTGTACTCGTGCACTTGTGCTCATCCCAGGCAGGGGCAAGAAGTAGAGAACAACGAAGAAATGAAATAAATGTATTTCATTGATAAACTGATGTCCAAAAAAGTACCTTTTTTTCTCCCAAATTAGCAAATCCTATAAACTGGCTTTTTAAATAGATGGACTACTTTGACAAGCTGGACAACCACTTTGTGATCTGCTGGAAGTTCATTACTCAGGAACAGGTTTCCCCTACTGTGGTTTGAAAAGACGTAGCCTGTCCATTGGTGACTGAGTCCATAGAATTTAGAGCTTGGTGAATTACTCTGCATAAAAGTTAGAAGTAAGGAAGGCAAGTTCACCCCATAGTTGGGAATGGTGGTGCCTCTCCTGATTTTCACTGTACCTCACAGAGGGAAGAGCTTTTTCCTAAGCTGGCTGACATATTCTTAGAGAGATCCTTCTTATCTACCCAGAAATGTGCTCCTCTGATGACCTTCTCCTGTTTCTCTCATTTACTAGGGATTCATGGATATTGACTTGACAAAATTCAAGGAGAGTGGTGCCAATGTAACTGGCTTCCAGTTGGTGAATTACACAGATGCTGTTCCTGCCAGGATCATGCAGCAGTGGAGGAATAATGATGCCAGGGAGCATCCTCGTGTGGACTGGAAGAAGCCAAAGGCAAGTGGTGTTAAAACAAAATTGAATTTAGGGTCCACGTGGCTCAGTTCAAGGTATGCTTACCTTTTTGTGATTGCACAGAGTGCTTTAATCTCACTCTGAAAGTCTGTCACTTAATATAATTATGAACATTTTCTGTTACAAGTGCCTCAATATTTTCTATGTTTTACAAGGCAGTAGTTGCTGTCTGCTAAGAAATACACAAGTTAGCGTATTCATTCAGTCTCCTGGTTTTTACCCTCCTCAAATCTAAGGATTTAGCATCTCATAATGTTAAGTATATAAAACAGAAAAAGCCTCATTAACTCATTAACCTTTGACTGGTTTGTTAGCTATCCAGTGGTAATAAAGTCTTTCCAGATGTTCCTTCTGAGCATTTCAAACCAGTGTGTACAACAAAAGGGAAATACATTTTAATTCCTAACACAGAAAACCCTGAATCTGTCAAGGGGTGGGTGGAGGAGGGAGGTTCCTTTATTTTCCTATCTGACTTTCAAAACCAAATACAGTCGTGACAAACACGCTGCAATAGAAATGTCAGCTTTGGGGATATTAGCTTAGCAAAGTTGCAAACAAATAAACCAGTAGGTGATCACAGGGAAAGTAATTAGGTCTAATGATTATTGTTGATGCCAAGAGTTTTACACTCGTTTCTGTACAAGTTTCTGCTTGAAATCTTTTGCAGAACTCTTGTGTGTTAGAGTTTTCTGGTCTCCATCTGTGACCAGGAAGGGTCACTTGTTACTTGATTTTGTGTATCACACATTTATACTGTATAATGTATTCCTTTAAAGTTCAAGTCGATTATTCTAATTCAACACAAAGACTTGGGTAAGAGGTAAAGGGCTCTGAAGGTCACGTCCTCTTCAGGGCATGGAAGGCACCAACTTTTACGAGTCAACAGGACAGTGATGTTTACAGGGAGCGAGAGGCTGTTGAACTTTGTAGATGGAAGGATTGAAAAAGGATAAATCATCTGAAAAGCTGCCGTGAAGTGAAGCAGTGTAGCACACCCAAGGTCAGCTCACCCTAATGGGCAATGTACAACTCCTCTACTCTTTTCAGTACACCTCAGCCCTCACGTATGACGGGGTGCGGGTGATGGCCGAGGCCTTCCAGAACCTGCGGAGGCAGCGGATCGACATCTCCCGCCGCGGCAACGCCGGGGACTGCCTTGCCAACCCAGCCGTGCCATGGGGACAGGGCATTGACATCCAGAGAGCACTGCAGCAGGTTTGAAACCCAAACAATATGTGCACTGCAAAGATGGCTGAAGGTGGCTGGGGGAGGAGGGAGAGGAGGGGGTAGAGGGTTGATTAGCAGCAGAAATGCTCTAACTAATCACTTGGGATGAGGAACTGATCCTTCCAGATTAGAACCAGGTCTCCCAAAGATTTGAGGAGTGCATCCAGCAAACTGATTTTCCTGGTACCAACAGATATGTCTTTGTATTTTCTAATTTATGTTGACTTTCTGGAGTGAAAAGCCAAAATATTATCCTATAAAATAATGGAGGATCCTTATTTTTATCTTCCCCTTCCCAAAAGAGAGAGACCTGCTCGGACCATATTTTTTTGTAGATCCTTCAAATCTGTGAATTCTGTTTCAGTTCCAGACTGCTAATGAGGCTTGAAACCATGTGAATTTTGCCTTATGTGTTGGCTGTCATAAAAATGTTCTTAAAGCCCAAATTATAGCTTGTTCCATACTGTGAGGATTCATAAAAATCTTAATAACAGCCATTTAGATTGTTAAATCTGATAATCTTGTCATTTTTTCCTGTATAAAAATTTAGCTTTTTGAATAACCAAAAACCTACATTAAGCTGTAGCAAGAGAGAAAAACAATAGACTCTTACTAAAGACTTAGAAAGGTAGAATATTTTCAAATTTCATTAAATTTCAAGGCTGAATTTCATTGCTATCGTTTGTCTTTTTTTCATCCTTGCAAATACTGCTAGCTCAGTGTTATCCAAATATAGCTTATCCCATCTTCTTCCTTTAGCTGTGAAGAAGGCAAGAAGAATAAAATTAATTTGGTTAATTTGCATCACATGTAAACTTCCTCAAGTGTTTTATTTTGATTTGGGTTTGGCTTACTGGTAAACAATTCCTGTAAAACCAAATCTTGCATCTGATTTTATTGCTTGGATTCACTTTGTTCTCAAGTCTGTCATTGACTTTCTGCATGACCTTGGGCAAATCACTCTCATAGCTTCTCCAAACCCTTATAATAAAATCAGCCTCCTCAATGCATTAGGGAGATCAGTTACCTAATAAACATTAAATACTTGGATGTCTTTTGATGAGCAATGGATTCTCAAGTATTTTCTTTTATTGAATTTATGAGACTAGGATATCAAATTTAGACAGCTAGAAAATACAATTTTGTGTGTGCATTGGAAAATCACCTCTAAAAGTTTCCTCATCTTTTCATTAAAACCATTTCCAAAGTATTAATTTTTCAACTGTAGTGATTTGGGGCAAAAAAACATGAAGAGCTATTGGCAAAAGTGATTCCTTTACCATTGAAAAATTATAATTTTCAAAAGTTTTGACCAGTTCAGTTGTGATGATCAAAATAAAAGGCTCTGAAACACGCAGGGGAAGAAGAATTCTCCTAGGGAAATTTTAACTATGTAATAATCATCCAGCATTAAGTTTTGTAACAAGAAAGAGGCAGATGGAAATAGAAGAATTTAGGATTAGACTGAAGGTTTGAGTTATCCTTTCTGTAAAGGCTCACAATTAGGCCAATTCCCTACAGCTGTTCACAGTGTACTTTCTCTTCACCTGCCATTTTCTAATGCCTAAAATTTTATAAGCTGCTTAAAAGCAAGAAGTTTCTCTACTTATTTCTACTCTAATGTCTGGAATAAGCTCCTGAATTGCCTTATTTCTGTGTAGCATAGGAAGGAGTCATGGATGGCAGGAGCAAAGATGAAAAGCAATTTGAAATGCTGTGCAGATTTTAAAAGCAGAAATCTAACACATTTTGGCAAAATGTATGTTTTTATTAATGAGAACCACTTCACCCCCAGGAAAATGCTCACAAAATACTGCATTAAACCAAGAGACTGAGGTTTCAGTTGCACCTTGAAAAGATTCTGATAATTTTTGACAGATTTTGAGTTAAGGTGATTTGGTTACCACATCTGGTAAGCAGTTAGCTCTCCCCTAACTACTCACTAACTGTGTGAACCAAAAGGCCACAACAGCATCCTCCTGCTCCAGCTCTCCCAGCAAACATGCCCATCTCATATAAACAAATGTGCTTATGTGCCCCATGTCCCCAGCTGACTTTACTGGTGCTTTAGCACTGTTGAAATCAGTCCTTGCCATATTTAGTACTGACTCAGGGAACCTGAGAGGATGGTACTTGTTGAAAAGCTGTGCTGCAGCCTGCAGGATGGATGGGAGAGACCCCTTTTGCCACACAGATATCACAGGATTCAGATTTCAGTTATTCAGGTAGAAGAAATTGGTGCTCTAGAACTGCTTTTTAGTGCATATAAAGTTACAAAGCACGAGCACCCATGGCCTGAGCTTCAGAATCAGTCAGGACCTAAAAAGAAAAGCAAAGGGTCCATGAAATAGACAGAGAAGTGTTTTAGCCAGGGGTGCTTTTCTAGTGTATCTAGCTTTTATGGGCATGTTGCATTTTATGAGAAGGGAAGAACATGTTTCTCCCAATGTCATCAGGAATACCTCTTAACCTGAAGGAGCTTCAGAAAGTAATGGCAGATAGAAGTTTTCATGACAAACCTTTGTTACAACAGCTGGAAAACAAGTACGGTATAAGGAGATTAGCAACAGATTCCCTCCATAATGAGATATCCTGATTTCCTCACCGTGGGTGTTTATTCTGAGGATCTCAGAGTGCTTAAAGAGGCTGCTAAATACCTGTTCCCATTGTGCATGTGGGAAGTCTCAGTTGTAGGAACAAGCAGAACAGTTGAGAACAAACCTTTAACTCCCAGTCCAAAGATGTGAAGTCTTCTCCAGGTGGTCTCTAGAAAGACACAAATTTTCACTCCTTTTCCCATTTTCCTATCCTTATTGCCTGGTCCCCACAGGTGATGTGGCTCCAGTCAGAAGCCCTTCCCTACTCCAGGCTGGACACTTCTGCAGCAGGTGAAATGGCCACACTTGAGAGAAGTTCAGGAAGTGGAATGTGATGTGAACAACACTCTTAAGCTCTGCAGCATTAGCAGCAGAGGCTTAGGATCGGAAATTTCCTATGCAAATTTTGTTTACAGTACTAAATTGTCAGGTTTTATTAGGCTGCTGCAGAGGTAATTAAATTTGCTTGCTAACTGATAGATTCCTTTCTATTGAAAGATGGCAGCTGGGAGCTGTGGCCATGGTTTCCCATTTCCTCCAAATCCAGTTCCTGATATGAACTGACAAACTCTTCACCAGATCGTGACTCCAGGTCAGATTTAGAAAATATAAAAAACCCCACAAACCCAAGGAGTTCAGAGCTGATTTAGCTCACTGTCACATCCCAAGAGGTGATGAGCTCACACGTGATCGAGCTCTTACGCATCGCTAAGCTCAGTAATAGACCACTGAGTTTTAAGAGAAAGGGTTTTTTTTAAGAAAAGGTAAGTTAAGAGAACAGCTCTGCATGTGGCCAGGCATGCTCTGCAGAGAGAAAGTGAAAGCCTGGTGTCAGATAGATGTCCTTTCTCCCCTGCACGGATCTGAGAGACACGACTGCACTCCCCATCCTTCTTCCTCTTGCTTCTTACTGCTGCCAAACCATCACCCTGGGAGGTGCTGACCAATTTGTTGTCCTCATTGATTTTTGTGTCTTTAAGGTCCGCTTTGAAGGACTGTCTGGCAACGTTCAGTTCAATGAGAAGGGACGGAGAACCAACTACACCCTCCAAGTGATTGAAATGAAACACGATGGGATCAGAAAGGTAAAGGAGAGAGCAACCTGAGATCCTGTGTCAGATGCCAGCCTGGTGTTTGCCTTGTGGTGTGCTTGGTCTCAACAGATGTTTCTGTTCATGAAAGCTTCTGTGTGGGGTCACCATGAGTGCCTTCCCAGCTCTAGAGGAGCAAAGCCAAGCTCAAGGGGGAACTCATGATATATTACAAAAAAAATACAACATATGGAAGGGGTTATCAAGAGCAGCAATGGCATCTCAGCTGTGGGGCAGGCATTTCCAGGGTAGTAAAATCTTGGCCAACTCAGCCTCACTATTGGCAGGGCACACTAGCTCAGGCTTAGCTGCACAACTGTCTTTTTTCCTCTCCTGCTTTTATTTTCCAAGGATGAGCCAAGGCAGAGCCAGACAAAACTTTTCTGCCCTAAGCAGTGTAGGTGAACCCTTTATGTTGACCTAATTCTGCTCTTCATGAAATGACAATAACCATGTCCTGAGACATTTGTGCTGTTCTGGAGTCTTGATCCATTTCTATATTCCAGGCACTCTGGAAAATCTGACCTTGTTCAGGAGTGCTGAGCCCTTGAAACACTAATCCTTTTGAAAATCTGACTCCATGTATTTATGTCCTGCTTTAGATGCTGCCTATTGGAAGAACAGAAAATAGCTCAAGTATCCTGTCAGTAAGGGAGAGCTACTAAATGTTTTGGAATGGTGTATTTTCTGGAATCCCTCTGCACCCCCCCAGTCTTCTGAAGAATAGAATACTTGTTTGAAACTGAGAAAAACTAAAAATAGTGCAAGTTCCACATTTACAGCCCCTACTCCCAATTCATGCTTACACAAAAGCAGCTGATGTGAGATCAGAACCCTCCAGAGTCAAGCTGGTGGAAATAAAAAGGCAAATTTCCCATTGTGAAAGAAGTGTCTTTTTGAAGACATACAAAGTGGCCTTCCTCCCTTGCACTGTATTCATAAGAGGAAAAATGCAGTATTGTGTCCTGTTTGGGTCTCTGAACTTCAAGAAGTTGGCAATCTGGAGTGTCTAGAGGAGAAGAAACAGAATGCTAAATGTCTTGATTTTGCTGTGTGTTTACTGACAGAGATGATATTTATTTGGCAGACATGTACGTTGCTGCCACAATGCATATTGTAACTTAGATCCACCCAGTTAGAGGTGCAAAACAAACGTACATATCTCCCTTTATGGTGCCCTAGGGCAGAGCTTTGGAAGCTCTCTCCTCACTCTTATTTCTTTTTGTCTGTGGGATGAAGACAGATGAGAAGCCTGTGTAGATTTTTTCTCCTGAACTGTTATGATCTCTAATCTGCCATAGCAGCTTCCTGGTCATGCCCTGTGTTAATACCCTTTCCCATTCCTGTGATAAAACTCCTTTCACATGAGCAGAGCTCAGGCAACTGCACACTTACATAAGGTGATGGAAAACCTCTTATAAAATCAAGGACTTAAAATTGATAAGCTCAACAATGATCTTCCAGGTGTCATTCAGTGGCACTTTGATGTACCTGCAAGCAGTGATAGGTCAGCCCAAATCCCTGATTATCAATAAACACAGCTTAATGTAAGAGTTTTTGCCATTACAACTGACCCATTTATTCATAACCCTGAACGTTTTGACATTGGCAAGGGTTGGGTTTTTTTTCTCACTTGATATTGTCTTGTTGTCTCAAGATTTCATTAGAGTCAGTCCTATGTTCATTCAGGCTTTCAGCTTGAGAATTGCATTTTATCACCCTCTAGCATCTGGATATGGAGTAGGCCTGCTCACCGTGAGAAAATCACTCAGAAGTCACACAGGGGAAGTGTGACCTCTTTGAGTAGGGACGGGGCAGGGAATTGCAATAATTGTGTGCCAACTATTCCTGTGTGCACACAAGCACTTTTCTACCTCAGCATATCATGCACCTTGTTTGCAGGCTGAAGACTTGGTGGAATGGGGGTTCCTGGTCTGCCCAACAGAAAACATCAGTAATTAGGAAAGGAGATACCTGGTTGGGTATGAACACGCAGAGAAAGCTGACTCTGGCCTGGTGACCCTGTTGCCATATCTTGATTAATATGACAAAGAGATATTAATATTACAAAGAGAGATCTTGGTTTTGTATTTGGCAGATTGGTTATTGGAATGAAGATGAGAAGTTGGTTCCAGCAGCCATAGATACTCAAAGTGGCAATGAGTCTACAAGTCTCCAGAATAGGACTTATATAGTCACAACTATCCTAGTAAGTGCTGTGACATCTATCCCAGCTCTTTCTCTCTCCCATCTCCCTGATGTGCAGCCTCCCTCTTCCCCCTCATGTGCCCTCTTTTGTACTGTATCATTTTTATAACAACAACAACAACAATAATAATAATAATAGCACTTACTGTTTCCTGCTAGGTCCATAAAGATATCTGAAAATTGCTGTGGCTAATTAAATAGATAGTAAAGAGTTCTCACGCTTAAGTGTAGAAAATACAAAAGATTATGACAAGGTGGTAGAGGCATCAGCATAGGTAAATTAGGAATATTATACCTGTTCTTTGTATTTAGCCCACAGGATGGGGGCTGTAATTTTGGGAAGGATGAGCTGTATTGTGCTGAGAGGCTTGAATCATGGCTTTAAAAACAAATCTCCACTATAATCATGAAGTAATAATACCCCATAATGTATGCTATCCTCTCTTGTGTCATTGTGTACACTTACCCTGCAGAAACCTGAAACTTCATTAACTTTTTTTTGAATCATTACTGTGAGTCCACAGAGAAGACACAATAGTAAAACTGAGTTAAACATCTTTAGGGCTGTCTCTTGGCCAGATGATTTGATTCTGCCTGTGTCCACATAGGCAGAAATGCCTTCAAAAATTCAGTGCTCAGATGCACCGAGTATCCCTTGCAGAACTGCACTAAAAGATTTGTTACCCAACCCCCCTCAGCTATTCCGTTTTCCTCGAGTCCATCACTGCAGAAGCTGCAGACAAATTCAGCTTGAATAAATAGAAAATGTCACAATAAAAATCACACTTTATATCTTCAAAATAAGCCCATTGTGTGTTGGCTGTGCCCTTTGGTACAGGAACATAATGCTAGAGCTTTGCAAGGGGACCAGAAGCTGCACACTGGGCTTTAGTTTGAACCCCTGATGTGCATCTCTAAAACTGTGGAGCATGGCTCAGTACTGGTCTTCTCTGTGCCAGGAAGACCCATATGTGATGCTCAAGAAGAATGCCAACCAGTTTGAAGGCAATGAGAGGTATGAAGGCTACTGCGTGGAGCTCGCTGCTGAGATCGCAAAGCATGTTGGCTACCACTACAGGCTGGAGATTGTCAGGGATGGGAAGTATGGAGCCAGGGACCCTGACACCAAAACGTGGAATGGCATGGTTGGAGAGCTCGTTTATGGGGTGAGTTTCCAGCCTCATCCATTTTCTTCACCTCTTGGTACTTGAGAACACATTCAAGCCCTAGAGCCTGAGCTGTCTTCAGGACTGTAACTCTGACAATGCAAATAACCAGCACAAGTAAAACATTTTAATTCAGGGAGGGACAACACATTTTGTGCCTTTGGAAATGTCAGAACGTTTCCTTTCAACAGTTCCAAGAGGTTTTCTGTTCCATTTTTTGAAAAACAAGTATTGAAATGTCAAACTTTCCCATGGGTAGGTTCTCCAAATTTTACCCCATTTTAATTTGACTGATACTGATGGAATGAAAGGAAAAGATTTCAAACACTTAGCATATGACTGGGGAATGGTAGGACTAGACCATTGTCTGTCTAGCCACTCATTCCATCATCTCAGATATACACCTGCACCCTACACTTCTAAGCATGTCTCATTCTGGTAGTTCTCCTTCTGTGGTGTTTTAAATCGGGGGGATGTAATCTTGCCTTGTGGGGAAAGGGGATATTAGTGTAGGGAGCATCAGTGCCCAAGTCTCTGTCACTCTGTTGGAGTGAGGCATGATCTGTCTCCTGCTGGTAGCTCAGTGGTATATGCTGACAGCCACTTCACTGTATTTCTCTTTCCATTTTCAAGATGGATTGTAAAATAAGTGGAGAGAGCACATCAGTGTCACTGGAACATTTTTCCTCTTCTCCTGCATCAGTTATGCAATCAAAAAGCAGTTCCTGATGGAAGTAAACACCCTGGCATCCTTTTTCAGGCAACTGGCCTTTCCTTCTGTCTTTTGATGTCTGGATGATAAAGTTCTTTTTGCAAAAAATCATCTGCATCAGACTGTGACATCAGTGGATAAATCAGACAAGAAGAGCTGAGTGGCTGCAGAAAGAAAGTGCTGTGATTTAAAAACAGCTGGTAATCCGGAGTGATAAAATGGAAATAACCCACCAATATTATGGCCTGTTTCTTTTTAACATTTCTCTTGCAATTGGTTTTGTCTGATTTTTTCCGAGATAGCGGGGGTAAACAGAGATCAAAGGAACATAGCTGGAGTTAGCAGATATATTTTATCCCCAGAATGCAAATCTCATTTCTGTCTCTCCTTTTCAGAGGGCGGATGTGGCTGTGGCACCATTAACCATCACCCTGGTTCGAGAAGAAGTTATAGACTTTTCCAAACCGTTTATGAGTTTAGGTATATCTATCATGATAAAAAAACCTCAGAAGTCCAAACCAGGAGTTTTTTCTTTTCTGGATCCTTTGGCTTATGAGATATGGATGTGCATTGTTTTTGCCTACATTGGAGTGAGCGTTGTCCTTTTCCTGGTGAGTCGCTTCAGCCCCTACGAGTGGCACACTGAGGAGTTTGAAGAAGGACGAGACCAACCAGCCACTGACCAGACAAATGAGTTTGGGATATTCAACAGTCTCTGGTTCTCCTTGGGAGCTTTCATGCAGCAAGGATGTGATATTTCTCCAAGGTGGGTTGGCTTCCCCAGTGAACCTTCTTCTAATCTGTGTGATTTAGTCTTTCTGCATGTGTTGGAGCTGAACAGGTTCTTCTTTGACCTCCCTTCCTGAACCATAGTGTTGACTTCTGAATCAGCTACAGAAAGGATCCAAGGGTTCACAGGTCTTGCACCCATGAACTTGGAACCTCAGACCTAGGACCATAAAATTACCATCCTAAATTTATGCTGGGGAGTTCTTTTGAGGGAATTCACAGATGTGTAAACAAGATTTTCTAAAGCCACACTTTTGCAATCAACTTTTGTCAGTCATTTATTTTGTTGCCATTAGAAAAAAGGTCAGTCTAGCATTATAGAGAAGCTATAAAATTCCAGTAAAGTAAGGAGAAATAATACAGTAGATGCCCAGTGAAAGGTTATATGGTCTGTGCCAGAGATTATGAAGCACACCGGGTAGTTTTAAGTATTATTGGCCTTTTAAAAGGTCAGAGAAGTATGAAGTTTTCTTTCTGGTTCCTGTTTCAGTCAGTAGTTCTGCTGCCTGAAAGTACAGTAGGACCTTAAGTCCAAAGGGTTCCTAAAAAGTCTTTGGATGGAGACTTTTATTCTCTGTACAAATTAATGACTCTTGTGATTGCTTTTTAATTTTTCTTGGAAAAACTAGCACAATATAAAGTGGCTGAAAACCTGCATGAAATGTAGAAGATGTGCATTTGTGATAGAGTCACAAGCAGAGACTTATTTTTAAATAACGTCTGGGAATACCTCCTTCATTTTTGAGAGCTGTATTCCCACAACTTATGACAGAGGTTTTGCCGCCTGCAGGAGCCCATGATACACGTATCTTCTCAAAGCCTTGTTCAACCTAAAGGCATTCAAAAAGAACAGAAAAAGAATCAAAACCATAAGAACCAAACAGCTGCCAGTATGACCCTGATAGGTTTTGTGTATATCTAAGTAAGTTGTATGTCCAGTAAGTAATGTTTGTAATAGCTGAGATCTTTCTTGGTGGTATGTGTCCTGAGGCAGGGATGAGGTTTGTGAGGCCTCCAGTGTTTTGTGTCCAGGGCAGAGGTACTTTGTAATGGTTTGTGAGGCTGGAAAAGGGTTAATGAGCTGTGGCTTGGGATGTGGATCATATGTACCAACGTTCCCAAGAGGTCTGCTCTGGATATTAGTTGGAGGTTGGTGGATTGATTGGTTGGAGAGCATGTGGGCAGGCCAAGCACCAAAGGCTGCAGGACACTGCTGTCCTTCACCTCCTCCATGGCTCCAAGAAGCACAGCATGTCTCTGCACTGCTTGCACACACTTGGGTTTTACATATAAGCTCATCAGACCAGGAAAGTTGCCTGTTCAAATTTAGGCTAAGAAGATTTTTGGTCAGTTTTTTTCTCAAACCAGAGGTACTGCCAGTCATGAGGATGGTTTTACAGACAGAGTGTGCATTTACGTGCCGTGCTGGCATCTGAAGCAATGCTTGGGTAAAAGCAGATGGCCTTTTTCTTTTTTTCCTCATCCTTCCTTTTTTGGGCTTTGTCTCCTTACTCTTCAAGGGAAATCTCAGCAGAGATATGTGTCTTGTGGGCGAACACAGTAGGCAGAAGTTAATTTCCCACAATCTGGGGTGGTATCAAAGCTTGGGGAACAAGAAGGAGGCACAAGGCAGTTGGCAAGAGGAGATAACATTGCACAGCTCAGCACGGCTCCCGTGGGATGGCAGGGGAGACCAGGCACCAGCTCCTTGGCTATCAGATGGTAATTTGTCCAACTATTAATGAGCTTGGGATAGCAGGGAAATAAGAGCTCCCAGGGCACTTTGATAGTGACAGCTTTTATGAATATGTTTTATCATCAGATCATTGATTAGTAAGAGTCCAGTCGGAGCATTCAGAAAGTCTTCCCAGCAGAGGGAATTTCAACTTTATCGCTGTCTTGTAACACAGCCCTGTGCATTAGGATCAGGTTATTGCCATTTTCATTTTCATTGTGGTTCTTGTCATCGTTATTTAGGAAAGAGACTGTCTTCCTTTGGGGACATTGCAATAACCAGTTTGTGTTCCAAGGAGGAGCGTGGAGAGGTGAAAAGCTGAGACTTTGCAGAATAGCAAATTTTGAAACATCTTTCATCCAAGAAGATTAGTGGTTTTGATCCAAATAACAAGACTTGCTCTAGCTAAGCATGCTTTGAATCACCATTTCAAAGTGTTATTTCATTTTGCTTTGAAATGGGAAATCAGAAGGTTTCTGCAATTGTTATTTTAATGTTGTTAATTTGATAATGAAATCCTGATAATGAAAACTGCAATTTCATTAAAACCAGTATTTTCCCATGGAGCACAGGAGCACTTTCTGACTACAAATATTTGCAAGAAGAGAAAATTTGAAAAATGAAATATGGAAATGATTATAACTCCCAGTACTCTGAGCACAGCTCCTGGTTGCAAGTGGAGGAGAACATTTCTGCAAAATGTGAAAGGAAGGAGGAAGCAGGAGAGTGAGAATTTCTGTAGGATGCTGTTGTACAGAAGGGCTCTGAGTGCTCTCCGCATTTCACATGTATTTTTCACACAAACCTGGTGCAGGATTTCTGTGACACATCTCTTAGAAATGAATGCTTGGTAGAACGACACTGTGGGCAGGTGGGGATCTGCTTTATTCCAATATATTTCCTATATGGTTGCTTCTAAACTTATCACTACAATCTCTCAGCATCTCCCCGGTAGTGTATTAACCAACATAAATAGCTTCTGTTATACATCTGTTCTGTCATCCTCTCCCCGGCAGAAAGGAGCAAGTGCAGGGGTGTATTTTGTTTTTGTAGAGGTTTTGGTTTGTTTATTTCAGTTTTGTTTTGGAAAGGAGTAGAGGAAATTTGTCTGGAGGGTTGTGTTTTGTTTTTTTTTTTCCTGTCCTGAGCATGTTTGTTTTAAATGCACATGCCACTACCTATTTATCACCAAAAAAATGTAAGATCAAAAGCACAGACGCATCACTCAACGCAGCAGGGGGTGAAGTTCACAGCAGCTCCTTGCTCTTGTGAATGCATCTTCCTCAGACTCAGACCAGTCCCCAGGGAACTTGGGTTCCCCACAGAGACAAAAATTTGCTTTTGAAGGAAAGTAGCATCATTTTTATGGACAGTTGCATCCTTTTTAAGGACAGCCTTACTAGCCAGAACTTTAATCATGCTTTTAAGTATGCTGCTCACAACCTACCAAACACTTTAAAGATACACTCTGAAACTGGTGACCTGTGGATGACCAAAACAGTGTAGCTGTGGGTTATTTGCTCATAGCCTCTTCAGCCAAGGAGTGAGGCTGCTGGGCAGGAGGTTGACTGATGTCCTTGAAGCTAGATGAGTGTGACCAAGGCCAGACAGTAACCAGTCATGGAGAGTCCAGCAGTAGCTGGTGGCAGTTTGTGTTGTGCATTTGGATGCTGCATGAGCTTGAGCAGGGAATCTATACTTCCTGTGCCATAAGTGGAATTACTTGATTGTAGGCACATAGCTTCTCCCTAGGAGGCCGTGAGCTCTTGGACATTTCACCCTGGAGTGTGTGGTCCCCCTTCTGCCTCTTCACCAACCAGTGGCCCCACTGGTTGTGGTGAAATCACTACCATGTGGACTTATTTGTCCTGGTTAAGGAGAGAGGGTCCCTATTGTTGCTTTCACAGACTGTGCTTTCAAGTACCTGCAGATATGCAGCAGAATGGGGGAGAAGCAACACTTTGGAGTTGTGAGTAGCTTCATGTACAGAAGTGGGCAGAAATCAGTGAAGTCTGAAATGGCCCATAAACCATTAGGGTTTGCAAAATGCCACCCTGACTTCAGAAAACGGCCATGAAATTGCAAAAGCATTCATTAAATGTGAAATACAGACCCAGAAAGGAGATCCTCAGAACAGCTATCAGAGCTAATAAACATCCCACAGCCTGTAGCAAGAAAAATGTGAAGTAACTATGACTAACATGTTACCATTTTTTTCAGAAATTTAATTTGATAAACCATCTTTAGAGCTTAAAATAACCCCAGTGTGTAGCAGCTGTAGAGAGTGGGACCTCACTAACATCCAGAACATTGCTGCCATCCCTAGCTCAGGATGGACCTGACACCTTTGACAAGGGGACTAAGGGGACATCTGGGTTTCCCAGTCTCCTCTGCAGCAAAACAAAGTATCTGAATATTTCATCTGTCCCGTCACGTTCTACAAAATAAATTATTTTGTTGTCGTGAAAAGGATAAAAAAGCCAGGAACAGAATGTATATTTTTGTTATCAGCTTCCTACCTTGTTCTTCTGGGTTTTTTTAATCTCAAACTGTGTTGCTTCATATGCTTTGAGCTCAGAAGAAACTTCTTGTATATTGGATTTAATTCAGTTACTCCTCCTGTGAATCATAAAACTTATGCTTAACTAAAAGTAACTATATTTGGCTATATATAAAATATATCTTCCAGAAAGGTATTTATTCTCCTCATGAACATACTATGAGATAGAATATACTACAAGACAGAGTATACACAGTGTCTCTCAGCCGAGTGACTACAGGAGTTTTGCCCCCACTGGAATTTGACAGGAGGATAAATATCACACAGTATCACCCAGGAAATGTAGCCATTCTGTGTGCCCTGCCAGAGGATAATTAAGCAGACATCCTCAAAATCAACCCGGCTTCATGGGGGATGTCTTCATACTGTGTTGTGGAAACAAAAGCCATGTTATTAGTCCTAGAAACAGACAGTGACTGGAAAACATGCTGCTAGTTTCAGCAAGTAGTTACTTACAAAAGACTTAACTGAAAAGCAAAATTATTAGAAAGAAAATTGGTTCTGGCTCAAACCAGGACAGGATTCAGATCAAAACATACCACAAGCAGAAGAGAAATATACAGTGGTATCATTACATGATAGGAAATCATGTCATGATGCCTAGAGACCATAACTTTAAATTGCTCATTATAATGTGCATGTTCGAGAACAGATCTGGAGATGCCCTGGTCAGCCTGTGCTG